GTCGCAACAAGGCCTGCGTGCCAGAACACTCAGCAAGGCGTGCTGTCGAGGGATAAAGGACACAGCTCGCAATCATGCCGAGGATGCCATCTGTCCAGCTGACATGCACGTTCGACTTGTGTTCTTGACCCAGACGCTTGACTTCTGATTGCTCTTTGTTTAATCGAAAACAAAGTTTTGGATATCGTCTCAAGTCGGGAGGTTATTGTCGGTCTCGAAGATGATTCCTCTAGAGCTGCAAAACACCCTGCTGAGCATCAAAGGCATAGTCACGACGCGAACTACTTCTTCTTGCATTCCTCAGTGTCCCAGTGTTCTCATTCTCCGCTAAGTCGTGTAAATTGGCAAGTGCCAAGATGGTCGAGTCAAAATGGTGTTGCTGGAAATATTCCTGAAAGCAGCATACCAGTCAGATACCTTACTCTAGAGCAGAGAAGATGTTCGAATCCAGACTGAACTTACAAGATCAAAACGTTCAAATCACCCCTCAACACCGTGCAATACATCGTCCCAAAGCCAAAAGCGAGCATAAGATACGCCAAGATGACCAGGCATCTCGGCAGCTCCTGTGCATGGGATCGCAAACAGTGGGCAGAGCAGCTGGACAAACTGCCCAGTTGAGGCCCCGGAAGGACCTCAAGACATGTCAGCTTGTCAATCAGCATTCTGTCTCGCACAATACTAGACCGGGCGAGCTTTGAGCTGCAGGAACGAGAATTCACTCAGGATACAGTCACCCTGGACAACAGAGGAACAGCGAAGACCGGGCGATGGTCTAGGCTGCCGCCAAGAATCTTTAACTGCGCAGACCAGCAGCAGCGCCCAGTGTCAGAAGCGTCTGGAGCCATGTTCATCCAGTCTGCTCCCTAAGACTTGCGTATCACTGCTACTGGTCATCAAAGCTGCCGTTTGCAGGAGAAATTGGCCAAGGGTATCTCCTCTTCGTATCAGTATGCGGGCGGTGGACAAGATTTCAGGGCCTCGACCAAAGGGCTCAGGATCGTCATCTTGCTAAGGGGCTTGGCAATGAACTGCCTCGGGGAACAACAAGGAGACGTGCCACAGCGTTGCAGATCGTGGTAAGAGCCAATCAGGCGATGCACAGCCGGGCCAGCACATACAACGGTCGTAAAGTGACCAAGTCTTTCTTCGTGGATTGGGAATCACAGGGGAAGCGCCTCAAAGTTTCAGATGCTTCCTCCCTCCTTTTCAGACGCAATCTGACTGACCACTATCGGCAAAAAAAGGAGGGCATCGTGAGAAGAGCACTAATTTACATGACTAGCTGAATAGTGCTGGCTGGACCAATTTTTCTCGTATCCGACGGGAAAGTGGCACGTGCTCCGCTCGCCACGGAGACTCGATCCCCCATGCCTGCCCCATTTCGGATGCAAAGAAACCTGGGACCGCGTCGACCCCCGTCAAACCTTGGTTGTGGGAGAGGTCTCAGAGCATGGACATTGGTGGCAAGGGGTCGTACTCATTCTACGCGTCGACCTGTCAAAATGCAGAAGCGCGTCTTGATTAAACCTCAGGGATGGACACGACAAGTCGTGAAGGTTGAGTGAGTCTGAACACGACAGCATCATGCAGTGCACATGATGGTATGGACCCTTTGGTAGGACTTGGAAGCGCCTTGTTGCTTGGGGGTGGCTTTGAAAAGCCAAGATATGTGACCTAGGTAGGCTTGGTAAGGTAGGCACAGATCACCTCATCGCTCAGCTGAGTGGCTGTGGGCCGCGCCCTAGCCAGTTGCAGCAGCTTTGGTGCGTAGCCAAGAGATCAGATCATCAGCGCCGCGGCGCGTCAGTGGCAAGCGATTCTTTGACAGCAGTGTCAAGAGGGGAAACAGAGGGATCGTTTGGTGGCTGCAATGTTGCATGCCATCATGACGCGTTTCGAGTTGCCCCAAAGCCTGCTTCCGATGGACGAAGGAGTGCAATGCTGGGCCGAGCAGGTGTTGCCCCCATTGGCCATTGGGGGCCTCGAGAGTGCAGCAACTCCCAAAGCAAGACATTCATGTGCAAGCCGTTGGAGCCGAGCGCATTCCGTCCAACCTATTTTTTGAGTTGACTGACGGATTGATGGGCATGACTGATTGAGCTAGCGCTCCCCCCTTTGACGTAAACAAGGCCGATCCTTTTGTCGTTCCCGTCAACATGGCGGCCCTCAGAGAAGAAAATTTCCCCAGCAGACAGGTCAGTATCGGACCAAACGTAGCATTGATTCACTGTTGTCGTGCACGGCGTCGAAAGTGTGGTTGGAGACGAAAACAAGCAAATATATGGGGGCGCGATGAGTTGGAAGACCAGGACAGCAGCGGTCTGGATGCATCTTCAGTCCCCCCCCGTCCCCTCCTCAGGCTGTACCCGAACATGGGTCCGTGTATGCATCCTTCCCGACAATGACCCAAGATTTGCATCCATCCATCCGCGTGCAGGAAGATGCAACTCTGCTGGGGCTGATTGGCAGGCTTGTGCGATTCTTGTGTGTGGTTGGTAGGAAAAAGGGCTCTCGATGCAACCCCACTGAACGTTCGATCGAGATGGTAAGACCAGTTGCCCTATTGAGCGGCGAAGGAAGCATCGCATGTATGTGTGTCTTTGACGTCAAGTGCTGAAGAAAAAGGACCTTCTTCGCAAGTATTGGTTGGGATTCACAGCCCGAAACTCCACGAGAGTCAATACCCTAGGAGTCAAGGCACCCGCGAGCTTGCGAGAGATGGCCACTCCGCCGAATGGCCCCTCCGCCCAATTGTCGTCGGTACCCGCCGGTCTGAGGAGCCCTTTAGTAATTTCGATGGAGTCCCAGCCAGCCACAGACAGGTCCCCGTCGAGAGAAAGACAGAGAGAAAGATGTCTGCATCGGAGACCCAATTATCCGTAGGCTTCTATTGTGGTCCCAAGCCGATCCAGAGATGCAATTGTTTCGGTTGCCGGCGTCGCTCACTGTTACCGAAGGAATATCGAATACCTCAGCAGCGGCCGGCAACTCCCTTGCCCTCTCCAGGAAGGCGAAGTAAGTCAACATTGGGTATGCCGGGGATTTTTGATTGCCTCCAGGACCCACCAATGAATGTAACACCCCTGCCAGATGCCAGACGTCCAGGGACAAGAGGACTTTATTGAGACGATCTCCGAGAGACAGGCGAGGATAGGAAACGAGAAAAGGGTTTTTGCCTCCTTTAGGAGAGGGTTTCTCCTTTGGCGCCGTCCACTCCACTGACACACGACGCTGGGCACACGACACACGACACACCCCTGGGCCTAGGAGGCAATGGATGGGTTCCCAAGGAGTCGAGCCTCGGTCGGCGGCGCCAAGGCGGGGTAGCGCCACGGCAGTCTTGACTCGCACGCCATACCACCAAGGGCATTTGGTCGTGTGATCGTGGAGGAACGACCCTGGTTCATTTCGCCCCAAGAGTCAATCGGAGACGCACCCGACTGTCTCGCCTGCATCTCGCTGTCTTTCGTCAAGTGCCTTACCGCCTGGCTCTCCCGCTGCCACTGGAATGGCGTGGCAGCCCTTTGGGCGCGATGAGCAGCTGCAGCGGAACCCAGGGCGTGTTTCTCCCATATTCGTCGCGGTTGAGGGCGGGTGCTGTGCCACCAGAGGAGATGCTCGGGAGATGGTGGGAGGAAACAGTATTCATATCGGCACAAGCTTTCCAGGGGTATCAATGCCATTCTTGGCAATTTTTTAGGTTATGCTGGGACGTTCTTTGCTCGGGGATCTTCGTCAGCTCGCGTGCCTTGTCTTTTCCCGCGCGGGTGGTCAATCCGTCTGCTACGCAGGGAGTCAGTAAGTAGGTAGCTGATCAAGATGGGGCTGCCAAAGGATGGGGATGTGACACTCAAAGTGACGGCGGAGATTCGATGCAAGCAGAACCTCCCATGTACGCTGTCGGGAGAGCCGACACGCGGCCAGGAGGAGCCAACGACGATACGAGGCCCACGAGTAATTTGGCCTGCGTTTGTTAGTCCCACCCCAGACCACCTGCTCTGCCAACCTAAGGTACTTGCCTGCCCCCCGAAAAGGGCCCCTTGAGCCCCAAAACCAAGGAGCCAGCCCCCAAGAGACACCCCCAAAAGGCCCAGCCAAAGCCCCCCCCCCAAAGCAAGTAAAATATTGGGATAGCGCCATCGCTCAGCGCCACTCAGCTAGCATGGAAAAGGGTACAGCACCGGGAAGATGTGTTCGAAGCGGATCCTGCGATCTACGAATAGACTGGGGCGCACGCGACACTGCACTCCCTTTCATTCCGTCTTCGCCCTGGATCTTGCGGCCCCCTCCACCCTCGCCCCTCTCCCCGGCCGGGTTGGCCCCCCTCGTTGACAGCACAGCTTGTAACTGCATTTCCTTGTTGGGCCCCTTCCTTCCTTCCATGATCCAGGGTCAGGCATCCCGGGCGTGGCCCGTGAGTGACGGATGGGGGGGCGTGTTACCAACTAAGGCAAGGCCAGGTACCTGCTTAGGTTCCTTGCCGTACCTGACTTCTAAAGTAGGCCCCTCCCCCTAACGGCAACCACGATCCCGTCGATTCCGTAATATCTTGCTCCTGCCCACTTTCTCCTCCTTTCACCACCTTCAACTCTCCTTCGGGACCCCTTCACTCTCTCGGATGGCCTGGTGACGGACGCTTCAACACGTTCCGCACCACTCGCTCCACGCCCACCCAAAGCCAACGCGGCCATGGCTTTCCTCGGTTCTCCAGCGCCTTTCTTCTTCTCCTCCTTCACCGTCGCCATCCTCGCCAGCAAGGCTGTCCACCTCATCGCTCACTTCTCCACTGTTCCTTTCAGTGCCTTCATCATCTACCTGCCGACCTTCTTGATCTACGACCTGCTCGCCGTCTTTGTACTTCGCCTATTGTTACAGAATTCTCGGGGCGGTTTCTGGCTCATCCCCGTCTCCATCGGCTCCCTCATCTCGTAAGTTTTTTATATCCGTGCTCACCTGCCTCTTCTTGGCACACGACCTGCGCACAACTTGTGCAGAACATGATTTGCACTCGAGCCATCCCCCTTCTTGTCATGTCTGGGGGAAAGAGGAGCCGATTATAACTAACATGACATCCCTCTCCTCAGCTTCATCGCCGTCGGTGGAGCCGCTTCTCAGCTCGGTTTCTTCGCCCAAACCAGCGGCGAACTGCAATGGCGCGATGCCCAGGCCTACGCCAACAAGGAGGGTCTCGAAGTCCTCCTCTCCGGTAGTGCTGCCCTGCTAGCCTTTACCGGTGCCATCTACGCCGTTGGCTTCGTTCTCCGCAACATCCTGCACAACGCTGTCGGCAATGTTCTGCAGGCCTTTGGCGAAGATGTTCTGTCGGCCCTCCGCTGGCTGTCCAAGTTCCGTTCTGCTCAACTTCGCAGATCGCACGCCGAGAAACGCGATGCCCATCCCCTGAATAAGGATCGGGACGAAGAAGGTGCCGCCTCGGCCGAGATGCTCCTGCATAACGGCACACCGCGATTCAGCGAGGACCACTCCGACATTTCGACGCTCCTAGACGAGCCGTTCCATGAGAAGGGTTACGAGTACGACCAACCTGAACCGAGCCGCCGACGCCGACGCCTCCCAGCTTGGATCGGCTTGTTCTTCTTTGCGGTCTACCTGACCATTGCTCACATCACACGGCCCGCACGGCCTTACGACTACATGTCCATCACCCTGCCCATCTCCATGCTGGACGTCTTCCAGAACCATGCCGACTACTGCACCCTGCAGAACAGCATCTACGACAACCCCTGGCCATTTCCCGACCTGCTCGCAGAGGATCACTGGGAGAAGCCCGGTGCCAACTCGAAGGGCTGGGCGCCAGGCTCCGATAGCAAGCTGGCGCAGGAGTACCGTGAGAGGACGCCGCAGTGGCTCCCTGAGGAGCTGCCGCGCGGCTTCTTTCGGTGGGACCCCCTTCGCTTCAAGAATGGCTTCCTCGGATCGCATAAGCCTAAGGGGCCTGGCCAGACGCCATTCTGCCCAAGCGTCCCCCTGGAGCCACCCTTCTACAATCCGGTAAACGACCCTCTCAAGATCACCAACCTCGACAATGATATCTTGGAGCCCCTGCGAAAGCCACTCGAAGACGGCTCTATCAAGATCAAGAACGTTGTGCTCGTTCTCATGGAGAGCTTGCGTCAGGAATTTTGGCCGATGAAGCAAGGTTCAGAGCCGTGGAAGAATATTATGAAGGCGCACGAAGGCGAGTCGAAGGCAGCGAAGGATAAGATTAACCAATTATTGTCCCAGATGGCTCCGCATATCGAACAGATCTCTGGAGTTTCGGGTGGCTTCAAGGACTTCGCCGGCAAGGAGTACCCGAAGGCAAAGAAGCACTGGACTGATTCCAGTGCAGAAGGATTTGGCGGCGTCAACGTCGTCGGCTCCTACACTGCTGCTTCCATGTCGACGAAGAGCTTTGGTTCGGTGCACTGCGGCGCCTGGCCGATGCCCGTGGACAAGTTCGATGAGGCTGACACCGACAGCTACCAGCCATGCATCCCGCAGGTTCTCGACCTTTTCAACAAAGCCAAGGTCGATGACGAGACGCCGAGCGATGACTTCCGCGACCAGGAATGGATGCCGGCTCTTTTCGAAGCTGAGGTGGAGGAGTACGACAGGCAGGAGATTTTCGACCAAAAGATTGGATTCAAGCATATTGTCACTCGAAAGCAGATCGAGGAGAGCCCCAGGTTCAACTCGTCCAACATCTTGAACCAGAAGGTCAACTACTTCGCATATCCCGAACCCGTCCTCAAGCCGCACATTTCGGAGTTCGTGCGCAGCGCCCGCGCCAAGGACAAGCGCATTTGGATGTCGCATTTCACCAGCACAACCCACCACGCGTGGGATACTCCCAGCGATTTCAGCACACTCGATTACCTGCCCAGCCAGGGCAGCAACGCGTGGCACACAGATTTTAACAAATACCTCAACACTCTCCGCTATCACGACAAGTGGATGGGCGAGCTCATGCAGCTCTTCGACGACCTCGACATGACCAACGAGACGTTGATTGTCTTCATCGGTGACCACGGTCAAACATTTAAGGAGGACTACCGCAAGACGGGAACATACGAAGTGCCCCACGTTTCCGATTTCCGCGTACCCATTACGTTCCGCCATCCGCACCTGCCGCGCGTACAGTCCGCCGTCAATGCGACATCCATCTCTGTCCTGCCAACGATTCTTGATCTGCTTGTCAGCAGCGGCTCTCTCAACAAGCGCGATACCGAGATGGCAACGGATCTCGCGCAGGACTACGAAGGGCAGTCTCTTGTGCGGGAGTACAAGAAGAAAGACGGCAAGCGGCGGGCGTGGAACTTTTCAGTCATCAACTCGGGTGCCGGCATGTTGACTGTAACGTCAGCTGATGTGCCGTACAAGCTCAACATGCCGCTCGAAAAAGTGTTTGAGTACATGGTCTCGAACCTCGCGGAGGATCCGACAGAGCGAAACGCCGTGACGGCGTGGACGTACGACGAAATGGTCGCCAGCGTCGAGAAGAAGATGGGCAAGGACGCCAAGGTCTGGGCCGAGGAGGCTGTTGCGGTGGGCAAGTGGTGGGCCAAGGAGCGGAAGCGATTATGGAGGTATCGCACGCTGCCCTTCTACCCGGGCACGTCGGGCCTCAAGGGCCATGGCCCGCCACATGGCCATGGTCCGCCGGGGCATGGCCCCCCTGGGTTTGGCCCTCCGGGGTTCGGTCCCCCAGGGCATCGGCCTCCAGGACGAGGCCCACCGCCACCTCGTCCTTACTGATACCATCAAGGGGCCGGCGAGCCCTTGTAAGATTACAAAGCACCAGCATCAACGATACATGTCTAATTCATTTTTTCTGTTCTCTGAAATTCCTGTTGCAACACCATGCTTGAGTGACGGTGAAGACGTTACCATCTGCCTGGTGCACGTTCTGTTTTTTTGACGACCACAAGTATGTAATACCAGCTAACCGAGGACGCTGATACTCATGAGGATCCTAACGAGGGAGGAATTCCTCAGCTACGCCACTCCATCGAGCCTCGAAGAGTCTCGTGTAACGCACGCTTCTTAGCATAATACGCCCTACGCAGGGAGGCATCGTAGCGCTCGCGAAGGACCACAAAAATGAATGGGACCCAAGCATTCGAATGCTACCAGACCCCAAGATCGCAGAAACCTTATCCCGACATCACGGGCGGAGGCGCCAGGGTCCGGGAAGACGCAGAAGCCGCAGTCCGCATCTCACCGCCGCCCTCGGAATTTCAGGACCTCGATCTCGAACTTCGACCAGTCACGACATGCTAGATCAGGGGGGCAAAAAACAAAAAGGGGGGAGAACCTCCAGTGCGGGAAGAAGAGGTCATGGCACAGGCTACGCAGGCGCGTGCTGTGGAATTTCCCCTGTTCGTATTCGTGCGGAGTAGATACAGGGGGGGGGCGGTTGGATGTCGTCAGCCCAGCCCCCCAACCAAGAGCTGTGGCGTAGACTATAATTACACTGCAATCGGGCAGCTGAAGAAAAAAGAACAATGCTCCGCGATGACAATAGGAAAAAAAAAAAAAAAAAAAAAAAAAAAAAAAAAAAAAAAAGGGCACGAAGCGGGCTGGAACGTTTCGGCAGGCGAGCAACTTTGCTGTTTCTAGCCGGCGTTCCGCCCTGTATTGCGCCATCGAGGGAGGCACGCTGCTTCGGTTCCGTGACGCGAGGGAGAGAGGGGGCGTACAGGTGCGTGTGATGGAACGTTCGGCTGCTTGTGCGCCTGTGCCTTGGGGACTGTGTAGCGGAGTTGGGCTGGGGCTGCTTCTTCTCTGTCATGGTCATTTGCAGATGGGATGGATGCGTGTGTGTTGCTTTGGCTGGGTGGCCGGTGATGACGATGCGATTTCCGGGGGATGGTTCCATCTGCATGGTGGCTGTGCGTGGTACGAAATGTTGGTAGGTAGGTCCCTTCCCCAAGCACATCTCGGACAAATGCAGTGGGCAGCTGTTCCTTCGGTCAAGCAACCCAAGGTCTGTCTGCCTTTACCTTTTGAGTGAAGGTTTAATGAGTGCTGTTGGGGAAGGTGGTCACCAAGCCGACACAGTGTTGGTTAGACCACGAAGAAGAGCTGATATGGGTTTTATCGATCCTCATCTAAACAGAGCCTCCAACGAGCTACCTAACGGCGTTAACGGCGGAGGAAACAAAGATGATCTTGCTAGACTTAGGCTTGCCGACCTCGTAGAGGCCCTCGTAGGCGTTTTAGCTATAGAAGGAGACGAGCACGTTATTAATCGTAAACTTGGGCGAGTTAGAGCGGAGAACCTTTCCGACGAAGGCGCTCACGATAAGCTAGTCGAGGTCGAAGGGAGGCGTCCAGCTCGAAGGGAGGCGAGTACGACTTAACCTTAGGGTCGCGTATACGGCCGTATATATAGGGGTCGAATGAGGAGTAAAGGACCTCGACGAGGATACTGCTATAGAGGGGGGCGTTTTCGAGGTTAATGGGCCTGTCCTCGACGACGAGGTCCTGGCCGGCGATGGGTAAGCCCTCGGGGACCTTCTTGTAGATGAAGAACTTGTTGAAGGTAGGCGCTATTATGGGTGGTGGCCTGTGGTGTTGAAGGGTTATGTGCTGGGAATTGCAGGGTATCACGAAAAGATCAACTGAGTGCTAATGAAGGTATAAGGGTGTGATGATGATGTTGTTGATCGATAATGCTCAAGCCTTGATATCGAAGATTACCAGCACTCTTACCAGTGAAGGATCCAGCACCAGGGCATAATGAGAGACCCGGTTTCACGTTCTTGACGCGAAAGTCTGAGTGATCGGTAATTCGTGGCGCTTCTAGGCGATGAGCGAGTAATCGGAGGACGGTTCGCCTGGTTTCGGCTCGGCATTTGGTGGGTTTGGGGGCGAGACGAGAAGAGACATGACACCATACATAACAGTGGCACTAGGTAAAATCGGCTTGGTGACAAAACTGAGTCACCCTCGGCTCTGAAAGCTGGACATACACGTATTGAGACTGTGCTCCGTGGCGTAATGGATGATAAATCAGATATCCTCTGTTCCTCACCCCTCACCGGATTGCTTCCTGTCAAGCGGATCAACGTTCACCGACCCTTCAGCCTTATCAGTAATTATCGCGGAAGCTCCAATGGCGGTTTGAGCGGCAGAACAGCCTAACAGCATCCCGATATTTCCCTACTCCTGACGCCGTGTCCGACATGTTCATCCCGATAGCCCCCGGACGGGGTACCCCTCCTGGCAGTCAACACCCTCAGCTTCAGCCGTTCCTCACCTGAAAGGGGTTCGCGGTAGTCCGGTTGGAACAAATTAAGAAATGCAATCTGGCCAAAACTAGATCATGAGCTGTGAAACACCCACCCAGTTAATATACTATTGTCAAGGAGTCTTGTGTAACGAGTGAAGGGATCAACTGTCGGTCTCTTAGGGGTCGCTATGTAGATAGATTAATCGATGCCCTTCTCTAAACTCTGGTCCGTTGACCTTCCTAATAACTATTCCCTAACTGTGCTTGGTTCTCTCTCCTTAAGTTCTACGGTCAAACAAAAGGCGACCTCCTATCGGTCTCATACCTCCCTCAGGTCCTGACACCAACGTGAGCTGGTTGGCAAAGTGCCCCATTCTTCACCACAATCACCCTATAACTAGTATTCCCACTGACGACCACGCCCTCTTATCTTTACTGACTCTCCAGAGACCGATTGAGTCTCACAAACTCGCCAGCCTTGCGCGAGCCTTTTACTGCCTCCTCCTCAAAGCCTAGAATCTTCCCGAGCAGAATGATGTCGTGTGGGCAGTGCTCGTCGACAACCCACTCAACAGTTGTCCCCATCTTCCGAAGCTTCTCGACTAGTTGGAGGTTTTCATGGAACAAAACTTCTCTGCCTCCTGTGTGTACCCAAACAGGCGCCTCGATCTTGAAGGGCTTGTGCTGTGGCGAGATGTAAGGGTCCATCAGACCGGCTTGTCCATTTCCAACCAACGCGTGCGCACCCCAGAGTGGGAAGGAAACGTCCAGGTAGTCAGACCCATAGTTCGGAGACTGTGTGATCTTTGTAGTGTCCAGAACGACGGAAAGATCACTCCACGGAGACCACAGCGTCACAGCCCCAGGCCATGGTAGGCCGAGTTCCGGACCAAATTCGCCAATGTATCGGAGGAGTGCAAGGGCAAGATTAGCGCCAGCAGAGTCGCCGCTCAGCACGATCTGTGACGAGGGGATCTGGAGATGGCGGAGCAGATAGAGGTACGATGTGAGTGCGTCTTGCAGCGCTGCTGGAAAGCGGCCCCCAGCATCGCTAGCTAGTCGGTACTGCGGCATGAAGACGTGCGAGCAGCCCATGTGCGACAGAAGTGTCTGTGCCGCGAAGCCCGAATCTTGGTCTCGTCCTTCGCCCACAACGTAGGCTCCGCCGTGGAGATGCAGCACCACGAGCAAGTCGCTTCCCCATTTCTGATTCTGTGCCGACAGATTCTTCGGCGCGTGTGGCGTCCAGATAGCCCCGACCTGGCCCGGATGAATGAGAGGATCGTTCAGCGGTCCCCTATATAGATCCTGATGGCCAGGAGGCATCACCACGAACCGGTCTCCTTCGCTTCCGGGTTTTAGGCTCAGTCCCGCTGGTCTCTGCAAGGCTGACATTTGCCGGATCAAGGCCTTGAACATGCTGATGGAAAATGCCTGGCGGAAAGTCCATGTTTCGTCTGGTCGGCTCCCAGGAACGAGACCTCGCACAATTGCCAGTGCGAGAGAGAAGCTGAGGTCGAAGGGAGCCACGAAAAGAAGATGGCGCGCTTTCTGAAGCGTACTTGGTGCCATGGCGTTTACAGCAAATCCGACTGGAAAATACGTGTAATTGATTGACAGAGTTGATTGAAGGGGATATCAAACGCCTGCAGGATGCGGGGGTACGGGGAAAAGTGGCATATAAAGAACGCGCAGGAGCTTCAACCTTTCTGCAGCTAGAACTTGAACAAGGAGAAAACCCCCAAAATTCCAAGACTTATGTGATAGTTCCCCTGCCGCCATCGTACTACAATGCTAGGGGCCTGGGGGTCACGACTCAAACCATCTAATCACATAGCTTGTTTCCTGGTAGCCGAGGTTCCTTGGGAGGCATGGAAGGAGTCAGTTTTGGATGTAGTGATCGTGTGTGTGCACAGATTCCAAGCCCCGTCGGCACATCACTAATCAACCCACCCAGGACCGTGGTCACGCGAGTCAATTAACAATCCTTTGCCTTTCGTTAGTTACCATTCAACTGGCAACTAAATTAACTAGACGCGGGGATGCGGAGGCGGGGATGCGGGGGGTGGAGTTTCGGGATAATTGTGAGGGCCCTGATAGTAACTGCCCGGGGCATACCGGAGACACGGCTGGGCCGACTCGACAGACTATCCGTCCACATCGTTCGATTCGACACGATACACGCTTTCAAAGGATGCTTTCTTGAGGACTGGGGAGTTCGAGGTCCGATGCGATCCGATGCCGCCAGGAGCAGCATAAATGTGCAGCTCCCCTTACATCAAGGAATTGTCTTGTCACAGTCATATCTGAATACGACGATTCTCGCAAATCATTATCTCTACAACGCATGCAAGTCAACTTTGTTACAACTCCCACAAGCAACCATGACAATCGATAAATCGGATACCCATGCAGGGTCTAACTCCCCGACTGAAGTAGACCTTGACATCGCAGTCATTGGAGCTGGCGTCTCCGGCATCAACACGGCGTACTACATTCAGACCAAAGCACCCAAGGGGCTTTCGTACACCGTTTTTGAGGCCAGAGATGCCATCGGTGGAACCTGGGATCTTTGGAGATTCCCTGGGATCCGAACCGACTCGGACGCCTACAGCTATGGCTTCTCCTGGAACCCGTGGGGAAGCGAGGCCCTTCTGGCTCCACGTTCCGACATTATCTCCTACCTGAACAGCTCGGTCGAGAAACATGGTATCGACAAGCATATCAAATTTCAGCATAGAGTCCTGTCTATCGACTGGTCGTCCAAGCGCTCGGCTTGGAACATGACTATGCAGGTCGACAATGAGGTCAAGACCATTCGGGCCCGATTCATAGTCTTCGGAACCGGATACTACGACTACCATGAGCCCATGCATGCCCCTATTCCGGGGCTGGAGAACTTTGCTGGCACTGTCATCCAGCCCCAGTGGTGGCCTGAAGACCTGGACTATACCAACAAGAACATGGTTGTCATTGGAAGTGGAGCGACTGCCATCACCATCGTACCCAATGTTGCCGAAGAGGTGAAGCATGTCACGATGCTGCAGCGGAGTCCAAGCTACATCTGGGCCATCCCCAAGCCCGACCTCCTGACCAGAGTCGTCAAGTTGGTGCTCCCGGAATTTTACGCTCGGCGATTCCTCCGCCTCAGGTACATGATGTACCTCTACACGGCCTACTATTATGCCGGTTACTTCCCCAAGAAAACTAGGAAGACGCTCATAGACGGTGCAGCCAAGAAGCTTCCATCGAATGTTTCCGTCGATCCGCACTTCACCCCCAGCTACAATCCCTTCCAGCAGCGGGTCTGTATGACCCCCGATGGCGACTTTTTCGCCGCCATCCGTTCCGGCAAGGCCAGTGTTGTCACCGACACCATCAAAGCCGTGACCGCGGATGAGATCCTGTTGACTTCGGGAGAGACTCTGCGACCTGACATCATTGTGGCCGCCACGGGGCTGAAGCTGCAGTTCGCGGGTGGCATCAAGGTATCGGTGGACGGCCAGACCATTGATCCCGCTAGCAAGTTCTCTTGGCAAAACTGCATGATCCAGGACGTGCCCAACATGATGTTTATCTTCGGGTATGCGAATGCTGCCTGGACACTGGGGGCCGAGGTCACCGCTACGCTGCTTGTGCGGTTGTTGCGCCTGATGAAGGAAAAGGGAATTGCGGAAGCTATTCCACGGGTACAGCATCCTGAGAACATGAAGCAGGAGTCGTTGTTCAACCTGACATCGACGTATGTGAAGGATGCTGATAGTGTGTTCCCGAAGGGAGGTCAAGGCCCGTTCAACCGAAGGCGGAATTACCCTGTGGATATCTGGGGAGCCCGATGGAGTGACATCTCCAAGGGATTGGAGCTTCGACGATGAGTCGCGGTCGAAACCAGGGCTCTTTCAAATCCCGACCCCCCCATTCCCGCGCAGACAACAACACCGTCATAGAGATAGGATATCACCCCATTTTGTCCAATGCAACCCTGTTTGATTGAAACTACATATAGAAACTCTCGAACTGCGCTTGTGCATCTTGTAAACCTGTCGTAGATTTATTCGTAGCTGCTTTAACCTACACTGTATTATTGGTAACCTTACGCAGTCAGGAGTGCGTAGTGTAGTTTGGCCTTGGCGAGGTGTAACCCATATAGCCGATTGGGTAATATTGGGAGAGCATAAAGAGGCTATATTGATTGATTAAATGGTGTGTCCTCTGGCCTGTTTGGCCTCTTGTTGTGTTGTTGCGATGCCCGTTTTCGTTGACTGCTGTTCTTCTGTTGGCCTGCCCCGCTGAGGCATTTCCTTAACTTAAAGCCTGTTGAGAGGGCTTCACTGCTTATGTGAACCCCAATTCAGTACTTTGGATATGCCTGCGAGCTCTGAATACCTAGGTAGGGTAGGTGATATAAGACTTATGATGTGATTAATGCTATCTCTCTGAATTCACTACCTAGGTACGTGAGTCAGATATACCCATCTGATTCATCGATCATGTAAGTTGTGATTCGCGTGCTCCTGAGAGCTGTGAAACCCGGCCCCGGTGATCACCGCCTCAGGCGATTCCCTAATATTGGTTCAACAAAGCCCCTGCACTGCACTCCTTAATCATCAACCCGGGAAATTGGCTCTGATAAGAACTAGTGCAGGTAGGATTTGCGGGGAGACTTTGCGGGGTTGACGTTAACGCTAACGCCGCCTTTCCCTCTCTAACCCCATGCAGTATTTGGGGTAGCACTCGATAGTTGGACAGCCGCAGCTGCATCTCTGCATCCGCGCCCGACAGCACGGACAAGGACGCTCGAATCACACCGACGGCCCGGGTCAGCGCCAACTAAAGACAAAGCCGAGGCATGAAAGGTAATCAATCCCTCCAGCTTAGCTGCCCCAGATGGCAGAGGAAGCAAGAACCCTTACTTACACTGCAATACGAAGCAGACATCGTGGCCAGATAAGTACATATACCTTAGGTACCTTATTGAGCTGTTGCTATCTTCAACTACCTCATCAAATCAAATCCATTTCCATAAACTATCGATTAAACCGACTGACCTGGTATTGGTCTCATTGTCGATCCGGATACCTCTCTCGAAATCCCAATTTACGCTTGACCAAAATGAGCAGCTTGGCTGTCCCTGTCTTCACCGTGGCCGGAAGTGCCATCAGTGCGACTCTTCATCCCGTACTGCCCGGATCTCTTCTCGCCTTTCTGGCATACGGCCCCCCACATCTCGTCGAGCGCCTTCTCCGTTTTGATGTGATGGGACACTCCCTCCGCGGGAATGGCACCACCACCGTGCTGCGAGTCCTTCTCGGGTTGGGACTCGTCAAGACTCTCAACAGCATGATGAGCACGTGGGCAACGACCAACTGGCGTGTTACCCCGATGCGCGGTTGGCAATGGAACAGAGAAATTGCCGTTGTCACCGGCGGCTGCAGCGGTATCGGAAAATCCATCGTTCTTGGCCTAGTCAAGAAAGGTGTGATCGTCGCCATCCTCGACGTCATGCCGCTCCCCCCCGACCTGGAGCAGGAACGCAACATCAACTACTGGAAGTGCGATATCACATCTGCGGCCGCCGTGGCCGAGACTGCCACCGCCATCCGGAAGACTCTCGGCCATCCGTCCATTCTCGTCAATAACGCCGGAATTGCGAAACCCCACTCGATTGTCCAAACGCCCGACGACTACCTCCAAAAGATCATAGCCGTAAACCTCATGTCGCTTTGGATAACCACCAAGGAGTTCTTACCGAACATGATCATCAAGAACAAGGGCCACATCGTTACAGTTGCGAGCATGGCCTCATTCACAGGAATGTCTCTCATGGCAGACTACACAGCGACAAAGGCCGGTGCTCTAGCGTTCTATGAGTCCTTGGCCACCGAAGTCAAGAGCGTATACAAGTCCCCCGGCGTTCTCGCATCCATAGTGCACCCTGCCTATGTGAGCACCAACATGACCGCCCAAAGTGCTGCTTCATTAGAAAAACAGTCGGGGGGATTGATGAAGCCGGAGGACATTTCTAACCCGGTTGTCAAGCAAATATTCAGTCGGCGGGGAGGTCAGATCATTATCCCGGGCAGGCTGTCGTTTCTGAGTGCGGTGAGAGGGTGGCCCAGCTGGTTGCAAGAGCTCATCAAGGAGAGTCTGCCAAAACCATAGTGAACTGCCTCCCTCTGTGGGGGTTGGATAAGCAATGCAATGTATGCAGCAGCGGTTTTTGGCGATAATCATCACGTAGGCTGATTGGGTATCCATTGGTGGAATGCTGGTTGTCGGGACTTGACTGCACCAGCGCTATCAACACAATTCCTGCAATTTAAAGTCACAGTACTACATATTCCACCTCTCTCCGCTACAGGTAGCATGAAACTGCTTTTAAACAGGGTTTTCCACATGAGCCACGGCATCAAGGAATATTCCGGATATGACTCCCTCGCTAAGATGCCTCGCGCGACGAAGCCGGCTGTTTCGACTACAGCACATCGTGTGAACACCGTTGTCAAGCCATGCATCGGATCGATTCGGAGAGGGATGTACAGCAACCACCAACCACGAAAGGGATAAAGAACCATGTTCGCTCCCTCACAGCCTGCCAGAAGTGCAAAGAGGTTGACGCTGCAAAGACCAATGCAAAGGCTGCGGCAAGGGGTAAGGATGTCTCGTAGGGATGGAGGCCAAAAACGGCGGCTGTTTCATGTCCAGGAACGTCTGTGAGGGTGTCACCCACCATGCCCAGGGAAAGATATAAAAAAAGGAAAGGAATCGATAGAGGGATGGTTGCCGTCTAAGCGCCGATATGTGAATAGAATTGTCTTGAAATGCCACACTAGGAACTCAGCACTCGCCAAGAAGCGGCATTCGCTATTAAATATATTTATTCACTGAGATGCCGACCAATCCCAAGTATCGTCGACGATCCGGCAACTTCGCAGACCAATCTTCAGAGATTCAGGTGGGAGGAGAAACAGTGGCTGAGCCAATACAGGGGCTATAAGTCGCTTGGAAATCCACTGCTGGTGCTTGATGATTGAGACCCTCCCTTTATCTTGAAGATGAAAGATGATATTGTGTGACACTGTATGCGACACGACATGGTTGACTGCCGCGGGCAGCGGTTCGAGTTCCAAATCTGATACTCTCCATGAGTTGATGTTGACTGGCTTCGATGGCGCTGGCTTGCTTCAGATGAGCGTCACCGGACCTTCCGGAGAAAAGATCCATCTCCCTGAAGCTCTTTTGGTCGCACTCAATGACTTTACGATCACGATGAACGGGCAGGCTGTTTCGGGTGCCCAATTCCCCATCCAGGTGCAGGAGACTACTGTGATCACCCAAAGCAAGCTTGTCGGCACTTGCTAACAGAGAAGGAGGGCCTAGCTCATAGAGGATAGGGAGGCTGGGCCAATGATTGATGTCTCAAACCAAATGTCATGCCGTCTGAATCTTGATGCACTCAACTGGAAGACGAAGAATGTCCTGAATAAACAGTCGTGGGCCTCTCAGTCTCGCATCCACAAGTAAATATTGGGTTCTCATCTCTGCCACTCGAATCTGCTTCGTTCTGGAGACTTGTTCAACTCATGACTGTTCGCTTAACATGTCGAAAAACTCGTCTTTTGGTAAGCTTGTAGACTTGAATGTAACGATACTCAACATCTCGGCTATCTCTTGATCTTTGGTGCTGACTGCAAAATCATCTTTGGGCTTATATTTGCATTGTGGATTTGGATGGCAATGAGGTCACTGTGACAAATAAGCGAGGTGTTGAGAGGGCTTCACTGCTTATGTGAACCCCAATTCAGTACTTTGGCTGTGCCTGCGAGCTCTGAATAGGTAGGGTAAGTGATATAAGGCTTGTGATGTGATTGGTGCTATCTCTCAGATTTACCACTACCTACGTGAGTCAGATATACCCATCTGATTCACCGATCACGTAAGCCATGATTCACGTGCTCCTGAGTGCTGTGAATCCACAGCTACGGTGATCACCATATCGGTGATCACCATCCTGATCACCGCCCTAGGGAATCCCCTAATATTGGTTCAACACGGGGCAAGCTGTTCGTGACAGGCCCCCAGGTCGCGGTGGGGTACTACAAAACGAGAAGGCAACCCGTGAGACCTTCTCCGACGGATGGTTCAGGACGGCTTGTCGGACCAGGGGGGGAGACACTCTCTGGGGACGCCTGGCGCGTGACACAACATACTGTACCCGAGCGGACGCACAAAGTACATGGCAGGGCTTGCGTCGGGGTAATAGCTTTTGCCTACGGCAACGTGCACAAGCCTCCGAGACTCTGCCAGATGATGGCTCGAGACCGCCGGAAGACATCGGAAGCGTCGCAGCCCGCGTCGCGGGGTCTAGGGTCTAAGTGGTGGCGGCGTAGCCTGTGGGCAGGACGGGCATGCGGTGGCACTGATCAACCCGCATCTCCACCGGACGTGATGTTGGGGAACGGATGCTCATCACATAAACCTGGGGTTGGGGAGTGCCGGTCATCTCCACAATCGCCATCAGTCATGACGCGCTAAAAGGTCACCACACTTGTTCAAGCTTAGCACTGACTTATGGTCATGGGATCGCTAATCAGATGTAGTTTATGTGTATGGCGAGTGGGCTCCGTGGAAGCAGAGAGATGCGTAATGCTGCATCTCGGGACAAAAGACATTCGCGGACCGACGGAGGGCCAAAATCGAACTGTCCTTGTCCTCCGTCTTTACGGAACTCGTGGCTTTTCTCTGATTACCTTGCAGTTTATCGAGGACCAACCAGAGTTTCATCTTCTTTGCTCCGACTTCATCTTTCCCCACCCTCTGCAAGAATGGAGTCTGAGATCCTCTCACAGGCCGCCATGGTCAACGAGACGCTAGGTGCAGACGTGAACAACTCACCAGGACCGAAGGCGCATCCGCAAATCGAGACAGCCGAAGAGGAGCCAAGACGAGGAGGCAAGAAACGATCCAAGCTGGCCTGTCGCAACTGCAGGCGCAGAAAGGTCAGATGCGACGTGCACCCTCATGGAGCACCCTGCACCAACTGCCGGCTTGACTCCGTTGAGTGCGCGCCTTGCGAGAAGAGAACGTGAGTCCGTATTCGAGCGGAGCTGTCCAGCAGAGCTCTCAAGCTAACCAGTCCGCGGTAGGAGAGGGTGCATAAAAAACAAAAGGCAGACTTCAAAGCAGACTGCCATCGTCCCAAGCCCAGAACAGGCTACCAGCTCCTCACCCGCGGACAGCTTAGGGGAATGTCATGAAGCCTCCCCGAACACTGAGAACGACGCGAGGCTTGCGTCTCTCGAGGAAGCCTGGTTCCACGAGCACCGGAGATCCTCGCTCAGCTTGCCAAGCGAAAACAATCCCGAGACAGGAGTCGACGGCGCGCAGGGACTGTCCCCCGCGGCATTCTTGAATGACAAGCATTCATCTCCGGGCAATTCTTGCCCCCAACAGCTGGAGATTCCGCCGTCTTATCTCACTTGCGACATGTCGCGCGTCTCGGCTGAGGATTATTCCTACCTCAAACAAAAGGGTTCTTTTTCTCTGCCTAAGCGGGACGTCCTTGAGGATCTACTCGAATGCTACTTCGACTACATTCACCCGACCATGCCGTTCATCGACGAGACGGAATTCTGGGAGATCTATCACGGCCGAGACGCCGACGGCCAGCCATCACCCCCCTCCCACAGAACTCGCATCAGCTGGCTCATCTTCCAAGCCATGCTCTTCGCAGCTACCACCTGCGCTTCTCCCGAGCTACTCCGGAGGGCTGGGTACACGTCACGAATGGTCGCACGTCGCGAAGCATTCTTCAAGGTTCGAACCCTGTATTCCTTGGATATCGAGCGGGACAACATGGTTTTGCTCCAGACGTTCCTTCTCATGTCATACTGGCGCGGCGACGCGGGCGAGGACAAGGATGCGTGGCACTGGTCCGGCTTGGCCTTGTCCAAGGCTGCTGGATTGGGCCTGCATCTGCAGACAAGCACACCGCTCACCCGGCGACAGGAAACGCTGCGCCGAAGATGCTGGTGGAGCTGCGTCTTACGAGACCGGCTGGTGGCGTTGTCAGAGCAGCGGCCCCCGAGAATTCAGCTTGACGAGTTCGACGTGCCCTTGTTGACGCTCGCGGACTACAACGTGGGGCTCCGGTCCCCTATCTGCAAGCTGTCTTCGGGAGAAGAGCTCGGGAAGAGGACAACCCTGTCCATGTTCTCTGTTCAGCTAATACGGCTTATGCTCTGCTCTGGCCGAAACCCTCCGTCTCCATCCATGGACTCCCAGAGCGCTTCTCCGGGTGCGGCGGAAACTTGGGGCCGAGTTTCTCAGCCCACCCGCGACGACAAACGCTTTACAGGCTTTGCCGACCTTGATTACTGGATGACGAACCTGCCCGAGGTTCTTCAGCACTCCCCCAGGTCACACGGTTCACACGGCGGCGACGCTGTCCTGCCCTGCATCCTGGTGCATCGCAGTGCGCTTCACATTTATTATCAGTGAGTCTTCGCAGCAGCCCTGTTGCCGGTGCACATGCTGACACCAACCAGCAAGCTAATCCTTTCTATCACCATGCCGCGGCTGCTTTGCCCCTCTGGAGAGGAATCGGTGCGACACCTGCAGCTCGCCCAGCATTCCTCTGCCGCCCTTGCCAAGCTCCACAACGAGCTCGTCGATCATGACTCCATCCATTGTCTTCACAGCGAATGCTTTGGGTCTTCCACATCATCGTCTGGGCTTGAGCCGCTTGAAGGCCAAGCCACCCAAATGACAAACCCTACCACATTCCCAGCGGTGGCCGGGACAAGATTCACCTACCCCCTAGTCACAGAGCAGATGACCTCGGGGCCGGCGCTGTCAGACCATGACTTCACTGACTCAATGGTTATCGACAAATGGCCTCAGAACTTCGAGTTGACCACCCGGAACACAGCCAGCAGCCCCAGTGTTGACTCCATACTCGACGCAGGGTCACTTTTTCCATGGCCTCTCGGAGATGACGAGACGTATAGCGGCATGCTTCCGGCCGATGTTCCAGATCTGGAAGCCGACAGATTCAGTTTCAGTACAGTGGACACAAGTGCGTCGAGTTTTCCGACCCTTGGTGGATTTGATAGCATTGATTTCTCCGGTGCCGGGAGAAAGAACAGAGGGCTTGTGCAAAGTTGCTGAGCCGAGCTTGCAATGCGAAAATGACCGTGTTTGACAATGCACTGAGGAGGACTGAGGTCTGAGAATAGCATGTCTTGTAATCACCGTCAAAAGACGTAAAAATAATAGGGCACAGATTACTTCCGTCCCCACAAGCGGTTCGAATTCGCTGACTCCGGGTTCTCTGAGAATCTCAACGTGCCAACACCACCGAGAGGTGAACCACAATGGCATCAAGAATTAACAACTCGCAATGGAGGCCTTCTACCTTGATACGAAGTGGCGCACACGGGGTCAGCTCTCTCTGCGGCTGGAGCTGAGCGGACTCCGAGGGGTGCCGGCTCTAGGGAACGGTCAGCATGGGGCAGTAGCAATGGGAGGTCACATGATGTTAGACTTTAATCCTAGAATATCGAAGTTCAGAAGGGGGCTCTAGATCTTTTGAAATATTACATGTGTTGAGAGGGCTTCACTGCTTATGTGAACCCCAATCCAGTGCTTCTGCTGTGCTTGCGAGCTCTGAATAGGTAGGGTATCTGATATAAGGCTTGTGATGGTTGATTCTTTTTTCTTCTGATTCTATCTCTGAATTACCACTACCTACGTGGATCAGATATACCCGTCTGCTTCACCGATCACGTAAGCCGTAGTTCACGTGCTCCTGAGAGCTGTGGATCCCAGATATCCCAGATATCACCATCCTAACCACAGGATTCCCTAATATTGGTTCAACAACATGACTGGAGAGGTTATAGAGGACGACGTTCCGGCCACCCCACCAAGAAGTAGCCACATAACTGTGTTAGGCTGGCGTTGTATGCCTAAGATGAGTTCAAAGTATCATCACTGCGTTTCTCTTTGTTCGTCTCATTGAAAGGACTCTCCACACGTCGCTGCTTGACACACCCCAAGTCCAAGGGCCGAACGGTACCCATACCTGCCTCGTCACTGCCGCTGCTAGTGGCAGCCTGAGCAGGTCGAAACGAAATTCCGTCTCTGTCCCTCTGAATCTGCATGTTGCGCGCGCCATTGCGGCGCAGCTCGTGCTCGCAGTTGCTTACTTGCACGGCAACGGCATCATCCATGGAGGTGAGCCCCAATCTTCATTGGAAGACATGTATGCGCCAGAAGCTGACGCAGGCCGACATAGATCTTCATCTCGGCAACATCCTTCTCACAGCGCCCAGAGGCTTTGAGCTCCTGTGCGACGAAGAGCTGCGCGAGGGATGGGGGGGGGACCGGAGGGCGAGCAAGTTGAAACCGACGACGACAAGCCATTTCTGGACGCCGTCGGCATTTCCCTCCTTTGCCACTCTACCAGCCTTCTTCGGGGAAAACAGCGAGGAGATTTCACTCTCGGATGCTGCAATTCTCCTTACCGAATTCGGCACATTCTTCTGCCCTTCCCAAGAGACGAGGTTTACCTTCCCTACAGCGCCTCACTGTCGTCCCCCAAGGATCAATTTGAGCCAGAACGACCCCGTTCGTTCCCTAGTGAGATCTGGGCCCTTGCCTGTTCAATATGGGGCGGTCATCGGCCAGAGATCCTTGTTCGAAACATACTTTTGCTCAATGATCGGACAACAGCTCAACCGGTCGAGGCGCTGGGACAATTGCCGCCCGAATGGTGGGCGCGGTGGTAAACACGCTCCAAATACTTCACAGAAGACGGCCAGCTCCTCAGAAACAGGCGCGTCGCTTCGCTGGATGCGGAATTTGATAGCGCCATACAGAACGGGCGCAAGGAGTTGGGGCAAGAAATGGTTCGCGTGGATGAGAAGGGGGCATTCATGACCAGATCCGGCCCATGCTCGAATACAGGCCGGAGAAACGGTGCACAGTGAATGAAGCTCTGCAGTCGGAGTGGATGACCAAGTGGGCGATGCCGGATTTCAAGAGGATGCGCAAGGAGCTGGCTGCGAAGAAGGGAGTGTAGTGACAGAAGACCATTTTGGTCTGAAGGGGAGTCCGGCAGATTGTGGGATGGCTTCACTGCTCTAGGGCCCCGTGGGTAGCCGCTTAAAAGTCAAAGGAGGTACCGGAGGGGGCTGGTCACCCTCGGGTCTAATATTATAGAAACAATTATATTAAGATGTATTTCCCTTATTCTATCTCTTATTCTCCTATACTTTGATTATTTATTTGTTTATTTCATAGACTAGTATAGTAAATCTAATGTACTAGAGACTAGAGACTACAAGTATATTAGAATAGCTGTTAACCTAAGCAATAGCTCCTAGCATTACGTAGTCTTTATAGTAATCCTATCTATAAGAAAAGAGAGCTGATACTGTCACACGGAGAAAAGGGGCTGGCTGTTGCTGCATTGAAAAGCGAAAGGCAACCGCGTTCGAGGGTCCTTTTGTGGGTGGCTCGCACTGCTGAGTCAGCCCCCACCTGACGTCGGTCCCTTCTCATCGCTGCCCGCATCTTGAACATGGAGCACAGCATCGCGACCTTCATCTCAACGCCACCGATATAGCACCTGTCTTACCAACACCAAGTGTACATCTACCAGACATCTCAAAACGAAACAAGTTTTGAGAGACGAGAACGAGAGTGCACATCACACCATGGATCCCCCGCCGCCACCCGCAGGTGCCACATCCCCTCATCCCTGCCTCACAAAACTCGACCCCTCCACACCACACACCTTTCAGCCCCCCGTCAAGCGCATCAACGAGGGCCCCGATGTCTCTACGTTTCTCGAGTCAAAGGCTCACCGCGATATCACGACCTTCGTCCTCCAGCTGAACCGCTCTCTCTGCCCCGAGCTCATACCCGCCACTTCGTCCACAAAGGAATCCATCAAGACGTATCCCTCAACCTCCGTCCCCCCCGCCGCCGACCTGCCGCCCCAGATCCTTGCTCTGCAGTCACTTCTCCGCTCGTCAGAGGCCCTCATCACCGAAGCGCCCCCGGATCCGGGCCCTCGCCGGTTCGGCAACGCTAGCTTCCGCACCTGGTCCAAGCTACTCGAATCTCACGCGCCAACCCTCCTCACCAATCTCCTGCCCCCCGAGATTCTCAACTTTGGCGGCTCCTCCCCGCTGCCAGAGCTCCAGGCCTACTTTCTCGGTTCCTTCGGCAGCCCGCAGCGTCTGGACTACGGTACCGGCCATGAGCTGTCCTTCCTAGCCTTCCTCGGCGGCCTCTACAAGCTCAACTTCTTCCCCTCCTCCCCGTCCTCGTCACCCGGCGACACGGAGCGCCTCATCGCACTCGCCGTCCTGGGCCCCTACCTGTCCCTCGTCCGCACCCTCATCAAGACGTACACTCTCGAGCCCGCCGGCTCCCACGGCGTCTGGGGCCTCGACGACCACGCCTTCCTCCCCTACATCCTCGGCTCCGCCCAGCTGAGCCGCGCCGTGCCGGCCTCGTCGCCGATGCCCCAAGAGGGCTCCGTCCGCGGCGCCCCGCGCCCCGCCGACGTCGCCCGCCCCGACGCCGTCGATGCCGACCGCCGCGCCGCCAACCTCTACTTCGCCGCCGTCGGCTTCATCAACGACGTCAAGACGGGGCCCTTTTGGGAGCACTCGCCCCTCCTCTTCGACATCAGCGGCATCCGCGACGGCTGGGCCAAG